GCGGAACATTTCGGTGTTCAACCAAACGAGATAGATCTCGTGAACGCGCAGTGGAAGAAGCTGACCCTGGTGGGCTGGGCCAACACCACCGACACCATTGCATTTTGGTCCGAGGCCACTGCGTACCGTGATGCAGCTGGCTCGAACCCGTTTCACGAGGTCGCGCAGCTCGCAGTTGATGTGCTCTCCTTGCCGCACTCAAACGCAGAAGTGGAAAGAGTTTTTAGCCAACTAAGCGTGGTTAAGACAAAACTCAGAAATTCTCTCAGCACTGCCAGCACAAATGCGGTCTTAAGTGTTCGTAGCGGACTTCGCCGTCTTGGAAAGTGCTGCCACACCTATGACCTGCCTGACACAGTGACAAGAAAAGTTGGAACCATGCAAGCGTACTCCTCAGCGTTCGCGCCAAGAAGTAGTGCACGTGCGCAAAGCAGTGGAGAGTCTGCAGACGAGGAGGTGTGGACTGGTGAGGTGGAACTATTGCTTGACATATAGACTTTAGTGACTTGAGTGAAATGTGAAGAACGATCGAAATGAAAGAGCGCCGGCCAAAATGAAAATATTTAAAACATTTCAGATGTTTTAAATCTTGTCATCTTGGCCGGCACTGTTTCAATTTGCTTGTTCTTCATGCTTCTTCCCTACGAGACGATACTTGGTCAAACGATCTTCTTGAGTGCAATGTGTCCAATAAAATAATTTTAGGTTTCACTCGTTCCTAGCATTGTAGTAACATATTACATCAAACGTTAGATAGCAGCTGTGCACGCAGTAGGTTATTGTTGAAAGCTAATTGACGAAGTATGGGCTCTTTGGTGGAATTGCAGTACCTTCATGAGGCAGAAAAAGCGTGCGTGGCGTGCATGCACAAAATTTATGCACACCACGCGTTCCCCTGCTTCGCGGAGAGAGAGAGAGAGAAAACTTAATTTCCGGCAGAGTGCTGCGCTGGGTTCCGACCCATGGGTATGGTGGCTAGATCATGGGGGAAGGAAATAACAGGAGGGAGCATGACGTCACGCACCCAGCCTTGGCAAGCCAACCCGTTTTGAAGCCAACAAAGTCGGCCCTTTTGCCGTGAGATCACGCAATAAACGAGACTTGCCGATACCTCGAAATACGGCGCCCGGTAGCTTTTAATCGAAATGAACTGGTTCGGCGCAGACTGGCCGGCTCACGGAGGTGTTTCAAAGACGGAACAGCGCCGAGAGAACTAAAACCTACCGCGAGCGCTGACGTTTTGGTCACTTGTTGGGCCGACTTGGTGGGCTTCAATCGAGTTGCGCAACGCTCCCTCCTGTCTTTCCTTCCTCCATGTTCCGATCTGTGGTTCAGACCTAGAAGTTTATTCCGCGCAATCCACGTCTCCCGGCAGACCCAGAGTTGCTTGTCCAGACCAAAACTGAACAGCGCAGTCCGACACTAGAAATGATTATTTTATTTTGACTGTTCACTTTATTCACCACAGCAGAAATTTATTTAAATCATTGTTTAAAAATAATCCCTTAACGTGCTTTATCCAGTCGAAAACTAAAAACTCAGGAAAAACGTCATCATCATCATCACTTAGCGACTTTTGGCTGAAATTGACGACTTTTAGGAAGCGTTCTGGCGACTTAGGCCCCCCAAAAGTTACCACCACTGCCTGACAGGCATCGTCTGCATCACTCCGCGGCGACTGTGCGCACACCGTACGCGTCAACTGGTTTTCGCACGTGAGCAACGATGTCGACGCCGTCGCCGAAGTTCGCTACGAAGTACAAATTCGGAACAAAAAGGAAGAGGAAGACTCCGTACAACTTCCAGAAATGCGCTGCTGTGCCACCACCAGTTCCTGACCATGCGGAGAACGGCGTGCTTCCCGAGTCGAGCGGCGCCGATGCGGGCGTGTTAGGCCTAGTCCCCCAAAGCGCTCTTGACAACCGCCGCGGGTCTTCGTCGTCGTTTCGGCACGACACTGCAATGTTGCAGCCAGAAGATTTGCGGCGTATAGAGAGTGAAGCTCAAGAAAAACTTAATGTACTTGCTTCAACTCCTGCTACTGCCCGAAAATCTGACTTTTTGGATCGTGATGACGCTGCCACACAAGCTAGCAACGATCTCGCTACAAGTTTTTTCATCGCTAGTTACGACTCGATGAACGCGCTGCTGGCGTCTACCAGTTGCAAGTGTACAATTTGTGGTGGTAACCTCACGGTGCGAAAAGGTGAGCGGCATTTTGGCCTTGCTGTGAAGTTTGTTGCCGAATGTGCGATCTGCGGCGATAATGTGCAGGGATGGAGCTCGCCGCGCGTGAGCGGCAAAGCAAAGCTCAGGCCTTTTGTCATAAACATCCTTGCGGAGCGTGCAATGCAGAGCACCGGAAACGGGCAAACCGCAATGAACGACATTTTTGCGGCGATGAACATTTCGGAGAGAGGAATGCACAATAAAACATGGCAGGGACACTTGAAAACGAAACTCGTCCCCGCGGCAACCGATGGGGCAGAAAAGTTGATGGGGACATGTGCACAATTAGTGCGCGATTTGTACCGTGACCTAAATATAAACAGCCCGGACAACATCGCTATATCGTTCGATGGCACATGGATGACGCGCGGCCACTCGTCTCATATCGGCGTCGGCACCGTAATTGAGCTCTACACAGGATTTGTGCTCGATTATGTAGTGCTCAGCAATTTCTGTGCTGGGTGCGCACGGGCACCAAAAGAAGTTGACCCTGCCTACCAGGCTTGGAAGGAGGCACACGCATGCCAGAAAAACACGGACAAAAAAGCTGGGGAGATGGAGGTGGAAGCGGCACTGATCCTCTTCCAAAGATCGCTGCAGAAGCATAAGCTGCGGTACACGACCTTGTTGTCGGATGGTGACAGCCGCGCTTACCTTGCTCTTCAAGATGCGAAAGTCTATGGATACATACCCGTGGACAAGGAAGATTGTGTTAACCACATTCACAAGAGAATGGGCACAGCACTGCGAAATCTAGTTTCCAAGCAGAAGTCCTCTGGTACAGAGAGTCTCGGTGGGAAAGGAAAGCTGACTGGTGAGCTTATCACCAAGCTCAGCAGCTACTATGGCTGGGCCTTGAAATCGCACAAAGGTGATGTCAAGGCCATGCATAAAGCAGTCATGGCCACATACTACCACATCACCTCAAACGATGTCACTTCTAACCACACTCTCTGTCCAGAGGGCCCAGATTCATGGTGCCGCCAAAACGCAGCAAAGGCCAAAGGTGAGCCTGCTCCAAAACACCGCCACAATCTGCCACCCCATGTATGTGAGGCGCTTCTTCCAGTTTACAGACGTTTGTCTGATGAATCGCTTCTTCGGCGATGCCTAAGAGGGAAGACCCAAAATAACAACGAGTGTCTCCACTCAATTATTTGGGCACTGGCGCCGAAGGAGAAACATGCATCATTGTTTGCTGTGCAAGCTGCTGTGGCAGAGGCTGTAATGAAGTTCAATTCTGGGTATGAAAAAGCTTCTACAGCCATACTTCAAGAACTTCAGCTAAACCCTGGCCAACAGTTGACCAAGCGCATGAGTGAAAAAGATCGCCACCGTGCTGAAGCATGCGCACGCAAGCATGCTTCTGCAGAAAACTTGCAGCGTGTGCTACGAAAACAACACCGAAATGACTCTAAACAGACAGACTATGTTCCTGGAGGGTACTGATGCTAGGCCATTTGTGAACATTGTAAATAGTTTGTGATTTTCTGTATTAAATATGAGCCTATTTTGTTTTTTGACGTTTTCTCAGAATGTCATTTTCGATGTTTTTGAAACTTGCCAAAGCGATATCTTGGTCTTGAGGTCACATAGAGCCACAATTCTTGTGGTGGCATGTAGCTACATATGTCTCCTACACAAATGTAGGAACAGATTTTTCAATCTAGTCTTTCTAAATTTTTATTCTTGGTACTAATTTAATCGCTTGATAGAGATATCTGGAGATTAAACTTCAAATTGCTATAAAATTGGTAATACTTGTAATATTAAAAAAGTAATCCTACATTTGTGTTAATTACACTTCATAGTATCTAGCCATATGTCAATATTAATATTCTGGCCAATAATTGCCTTTCCATTGTTCTGATAAACAATATAGGATTAATTTTAATTATCTCTGCAACTGGCCAACCAATTTCAAAAGCAATTATATTTTTGAAATCAGCTTGAAAAACTCTGTCTGGGTTACAATTTTCATTGAATTTGGTCAAGAAATATAAAAAAAAAATTTAAAACCCTCTTCCCCCCTTAAGGCCAGACAGGGCAAGTAAAACAAAGCTTTGAGGCCTCTAAAAAGTAGTTTACCTCTTCATTAACACTGTCGCAGATACGATCGTAAATACCAGCCAAACAGTGTAATGAAGCATATTTTCTCAGCACGTGTGAGCTTTGGGGGCCTGCCATCGCTAATCAGTCAAACTCACCGATAGAAATGGCTTGAAAATTCTCGGCACAGTATCGTACATTCAAGAATGATTCAACTGTGTGCAACTACTAACACAGAAAATAAAAATAAAAAAGGACGAAACACACAAGCTCCTCGGCCAAGTGTTCCATATAAGCATCGAAACAAACAACTCGCAAGAAGTCCGTCCCCCCCCCCCCCCCCCAATCCAATCCATATCGCAAGACCGATAATCTACATATAAAACACCTGCACAATAAAAGGAAAGACGACTGCTGCACAAGCAACGGCTTTTTAAAAGCATGCAAGGCGGGCCAAGGCAGGCCGTACGTAAAGCGCGCTCCTTGACCAGCAACCAAGGGAGGGTGCCGCCGTCGACAGGTCTGCGGGCGCACTCTTCCCTCTTCGTGCAAAGTGGCCGCCGCGGCGGGAGAGGGGGCTAGACATCATCATCATCAACGCAAGACACACAACGGGAGCAGCACACAAGGCGCAAATCTGACGCAGAGTAGTAGTAGTAGAGGAGAAGGAGGAGTAGGGGTTTTTGCATGTGCACTTTTCCCCCCCAGAGTGGGTTACATACGTCCGGGACCGAATGCTCGCCGTCACGGTTGCGCTCCCTGCTGCTGCATCGGGTGGTGTCATAGAGCAGGACGGTGACCACAGAAAAAGGGAACCACCAGGAGGGCAGCGTCAGAGCAGCATGCGCCGGTTGACCAAAAATGAGGTAGGGAGGAAAAAGAACAAAAGTAACAAACAATCAGATCAACATAAGCGAACGGTACACTGAAAGGGCCCCATTAGTTCAGACTGATGTAACTGGTTCTTAATAACAGTGTTGTTAAGCACCTAGCCGTTCCGATATTTCCACAAGTTTTTGTTATTTGTGGAGATAAACATGCAAATGTAATTTTTTGTGCTGGTATCACAACTGAAATCTGCTTTGCGCTATCTAATGTAGTTTTCGAGTTACAACACCTGACAGACTGTCATTGTCATCCAAAAATTAATTGTTTAGACAGAGGTTCACAAAAATTTTTGTATAAGGATATTTGCGAGGGCCCATTCTATGCCGTAATGCAATTGGTTTAGTTTTTAATACTGAAGTAACCACTCCTGAACATATGGTCTTACAACTTTTACGAAAAGCCACTTATAAAAACCTCTATGACTAACGCAAACATGGACAGCCTTATCGCACTCACCGATGTCTCAGGATCTAAGTGCAGAAAATGGAATGGCTATATCTTCATTCGTTGCAAAGTGGCTGAGGGATGACCGAAAGCAACTGCTCAAAAAATGAGGTCTAAGAAATTAGAGCTAGAAGCTACGAAAACAGAACTCAAAAGGAGCTGGCTTCATTTTTCATAAGAGAAATGCAGCTTTGTGACTATCGTATCTTCAATCTGTCCTCTTTACGATGAGGCCAATATAGTGGTGGCACTGTGCCAAGGAAAAGCTGCATATTTGCATTAAAAAGTCCAATTTTCAAAACACTTTTGATGACAACCCACCAATAATATTGCTGCGTAGCAATTCTTTTCTCGTTCTTATTCTTTTTCTCAACTTATATTACTTTTTTGGTCTACCATTTCTCCGTGATGTAAAACAAGGTCTCAGAATTGCAGAAAAATATTAATTGAAAAATTTAACATTTTGACCACATTTTCCATTTCCATTGCCTCATATCCCCTTAACGAGAACTAGAATGTTGCCAAGAAAAGTATAGGGAATGTTTGGGGTCACACAAGTTCATTCGCTGCCTGCGACAAGTCATCTTTTCATCCGCTTTCGTTTCTTCCCATTCACACTACAATCACAGTTGAACCTCATAATAATAAAGTTGCATCTTACATGAATATAAGTTTCTTATATCCAAAAATTCATTATGAAGATTGTTCTTAAAACTGGATTCATTGGAAGACTATTCCTAATTTTTTCGTTATAACCAATGTTTTTTTAATATGCGGGTTCGTTATATCGAGGCTTGATTGTACTTGTAGTAACATCCCCTGCACTTTCCTTGACATCACTGTCTGGTAGTTCTCTTTAAGGGGAGACACCCCCCAAAAAAACTTATTGTATTATTTGTGCTAGAGACTTGGAAATTCAGCTAATTAGAGAGTTTTTCATGTACATTTCAAATCTACAATTAGTTTTTGTGTAGCTGATATAGTCATTGAGTTATATTATACTAAATTACAAATTATAGCTGTCTGTGCGGGCACATTTTCATGTACTAAACTTTCACAAAAAGTATCGTGCTATGGTTTATTTAGCTTTCTGTAGATCATAGAGTGCCGATATCTAGCAAAGATATGTGTACAGTTACTGAAAAGTGCTAAAAAAATTATGACATTTCAACCATTGTTTCTCTCAGTTCCCTGAAACAACCTTGTTTTATTGTAATTACTACTGAGAGGTAGCGCAACTTCAAGTAGATATCAGCACTCTACATACCTTCAAGAGTATGTACGCAGAATTTCGTTAGTATGCGCCAATTCTAAGTGTACGACTTGTTGAATTCTGGTGTCACCGCCGCTCACTTAGGCGCACTTGTCGGCGACTTCTCGTGCAAACTGTGGCTGGATATTTACAGAAAGAAAGGTTCATATAACAAAGATGACAATACAAAGTACACCAAAAAGCGATTAAAAAAAACGGGACTTTTCGACCCGCATCTCCCCTTAGCATTGCGGCTAACAACCTCTTTTCTGCAATGAGAGTTTCACGGTCCCTTCCGACAGCCCAGCTTTTTTTTTTTTTTTTTTTTCCAAATTGGCCAATCTCACCAGTTCTTTCTGCCCGTGGTGGTCACGGGAACACGGGCAACAATCACCGATGTGTTCTTGGGGACGAGGTAGTCATCGGACGTGTACACTACAAAAGAAAAGAGAAAATCGCTCAAAAACTACCGAATCCAAGGCATAACATTCAAATTACATTTCAAGCAACGCTGCAATATCAGCACTATCAGCAGGTTATTTTCCGGACAGCCAAACGAGATACACACTCAAACTTCACAACAAAGTTGCCTCTTGTACGAAAGTAAGTTCGTTATAACCGAAGATTCGGTATAAAATTACGTTCCTAACACTATATTCATTGCAATGCTGTTTTTCATTTACTTTGTTACAAGCGATATTTCGTTATACCTGGGGTTGTTATATCGAGGCTCGATATGCCATAAAATCCTGAGCAAGTGCCCTTTTCTATGGTGTATATGTAAAAACAAGGTCGAAAGATGATCCAACAAAATTCAGAGAAGGCCCTCGCTTGGTCTTGGAGCAAAATTCATCATCGCATAGAAAGAGCCGCTAAAAATAACAAATCACACCCGTGGTTCTAATCAACTGCTTTATTGAGTGCGTGTGCATTCCCTGTTTCCATCCATAATCAATCGAACAGTTAAAATTGCAGGTAGGGAGGGTGAGGAGCGCATGTTGTTATTGCCGTATATTGCAAATCTCTTCAAGAAACGAGGCGGGCCGCTTGCTCTAAATTTTACGGAAAGGCAAGTAATAAAACAGGGCGTCTTGCTCTTCTCATTGCAATGAGTAGCTAGTCACCAGCATATCACAGCTGGAAAACTTGTTTCAAGTGTGCAATGGTTAGTTATGCAGACTAGCTTTGATAGAGAAAAAAAAAAGCCAGACTGGGCTTTGTTTCCGATGAGCACAGAGAAGGACGAGGCCAGGAACAGTTTCTTGCAAACACTGCTCCCCCCCGTCACACGTAAAACAGTGACACAGGCACTCTAGCGATATAATGAAAGATGAACTTTTAAATATGCCGACCAACACTTTTGCTCCTGAGATTTTCCACCAAAGCAACACATTGCATGCTGAAATCGGTAGACACAACCTTCCTTGCAGACATAAAGAAACAATGCATGTGAACCGGAGCAAGTGCCATTAATGTCACCAGAAAGGGGTGTGCCAACAATGTCAGCCCTCGCCCCATGTGTCTCCTATAAACTGGCAGTGACCAATGTGCCCAGGAAGGATAAGAAAGGTGGGATGTAAGGAAAGTAGCAGAACACAATCATGTGTGCCTTGCACCCACTGCAGTGTCTGATGTCACCAATGGCGCCCGGCCTGTGCTCACCTTCTTTGGTCTGCGCATTGGTTATCTGCAGGTCGAAGTCCGCCCCTTTGCCGATCTTCTTCTGTTGAAGGATGTTCTTCTTCAGCTCGCCCACGGAGATGTGCAGGCCGTCGAAGGTGACCGTGTCGAAGTCGAGGCTGCTCTTGAACTTGTAGTGCACCGACATGGCTGCAGTGCAGATGCGTTCGGGCAGTCTGGCTCAGCACGGCGTCCTCCTCAATAGCAGAACAGGGCGCTCGCCTTAGCACAAGAACACACACCATGAATACAAATACATAAACCTTCTAGTTCTAAAATTGAAATCACTTTTAAAGAAGCCTACTGTTTACCTGAGACACTACCGAAAGAGGTACAAAACCGCTTGACTTTTTTGGTGCACAAGAAAAAGAAGTTGACATGGTGATACAACATGCTTGCTACGGCCTAATTGAGAATGACAGTAAGACTGTATAGAGAACCCGGTTTGACATCTCTCAAAAGAACCCGGCTTAACCGCTCTCACCAAAACCGAAGGCAAAAGCTAAAGAAGACGCGACTTGGCCATGACAGACACTTGCCCCCGTGTCCACTTCCATACATCAACAGTGATGGTGAAAGGCGGAGGCGGCGTGGCGTAGTCCACCGGCCACATGTCAAAAACTTCGTAAGATGAAGTGGTAGCGGCGTCCTGCTTGCGTACAGTATTAACACGATGACGGTTACTCGACGACGGTGAACTGCAAGCCGAGAATGAACGTGCCTTGGTAAGGTTGATGCTTTGGGCTTGGCTGTCCCTTCGTCTCGAATCGCACACCTTTGCCAAATGACTTCGTTTGTGGCAGTAATTGCGGATTATCTTCACATGCTTACATTTTGACACAAGATGTCCATCCCCGCAGCGGAAGCAGGTGACTCCCCCAGAACATGACGAGACACAGTGAATCGAGAAAGCGCTGCTTGTGTTCGCTTGCGCTATCTCACCTGCGTCCTTTTTTGCTGCTTCCACTGCTAGGGCGGTCCGCACGGCGGCGTCGAAGGTGAGATCCGGTTTTTCCAGAAATCTTGTCTGGACATTCACATTGTTTATGCCACACACGACGCGGTCGCGGAGCATGTTTTCGAGTTCAGCCCCGAAGTTGCAGTGCTCGGAGAGGCTTTTTAGTGCTGCGATGAAATTGCTGACAGATTTCAACTCATGCGAACGCGCGAGTTGAACGAAAACGGTGCACGACGGCAGAGGACTTCGGACAGTAATGGCTTCCAAGAACTTGAATCTGGTCCAGCGTCTTGTCACTGGGCTTGACCAAATTGCGGAGCAAAGCATACGTTTTCTGCCCGCAGCAGCTGATGAACACGGCAGTACGCTTGTCTGGGGCGACATCATTCGCCAGGAAAAATGCTTGGAACCAGTCTACGTAACAGGGCCAGTCTCCTTCGCCCTCGAACGGCTCGAGGATGCCGAAACTTGGCGTGGTGAACAGATGCCAGAGCGGTGCGGGAACAAAAACTTACATGATACTTTCATCGTCACCGCCAGTTGGTACATGTGTAGATTAACGGAGGGCCGCGCGGTAGTGATTATCGTGAACAGTAGACCATGAGGCCCCACGAAGAACATGTTTAGCCCTTTGCCCAGAACGAACTGTTTATTTTTTCGAAACGGCCACACTCCTCTGCGCCAGGCTTGCACAGCTTAACACAACTGTCAGTGCCACGTGGGGCGCTGCATTTGAGCTAAAATTGTAATAGCCCACTTTCCAAAGGCTCTGCTATTCCCCCTTTAGAGTAAAAATTGGGGTTAAAATCCTAAAGGCAAGCAAGCTAACTCGTCATAAGCTCTGGTCAATCAGTGTAATGTGAAATAGCACTGCCTTGTTGTGAAATCACTTTTAAAGAAGCCTACCGTTTATCTGAGACACTATCGAGAGAGGCACAAAAACCATTCGACTTTTACAACTTCTTTACAGCTTTTACAGGAATAAAGATGTCCGTCTGACCGGAGTGAAAGAAGGAGTTTAGAGTCATGTACTAGGCATTGTTTGAATATTTAGTTGAAGGGACACGCATTCGCACACGTCTATGCATTGTCAATATTGTCACCCGTTACAATACCGATTGTTGGCCTAGTTGGTACTTGCTTAATGACATGCTTCGGCCACAAATAAGACGCACAAAATAAAGGAACACTCATTGACAAGCATACGCGGCACTTCCAACTCATGCATGAATTAAATTTAATGAAAGATGCCATCAGTGTTTTGCCTGCAAGCCGGAGCTGCTGAAACTGAATGCAAAAAAATAGTCGCATCCTGATGGAAGTTGGCATCTGGGTGCCTGCCTATGCAGGCAATGCCTTGCCGACACTAGGACACGCTGGGTAATAAGCATGAGCCAGTGCGCTCCTCAACAACTTTCACAGGACACAGATTTATTTACCACAATTTTTTTTTTCAGTCTCTCCCTTGATGTCATCAGTGTTTTGCCAATGACAAAAAAAAAAAAACGAGTTTTACTTGAAACACACTACATTCATTAACTGCCCAGAAAGAAAATGCAATCCCACTGCTCTTACCACATCCCTGTTTACGTTCATCATCATCATCATCAGCCTGACTACGTCCACTGCAGGACAAAGGCCTCTCCCATGTTTCGGCAGTTAACCCGGTCCTGTGCTTGCTGCTGCCAATTTATACCCGCAAACTTCTTAATCTCATCTGCCCACCTAACTTTCTGTCTCCCCCTAACACACTTGCATTCTCTTGGAATCCAGTTAGTTACCCTTAACGACCAGCGGTTATCCTGTCTATGCGCTACATGCCCGGCCCATGTCCATTTCTTCTTCTTGATTTCAGCTATCATATCCTTAACCACCGTTTGTTCCCTAATCCACTCGGCTCTCTTCTTGTCTCTTAAGGTTACACCTATCATTTTTCTTTCCATTGCTCGCTGCGTCGAGCAATGGAAAAGCAGCGATGGCGTAGTGGTTAGAGCACCCGCCTCGCATGCAAAAGGTTCGTGGTTCAAATCCCAGTGCCGCGCAGTTTCCAACCGGATAAAAAAAAAAATCCGCGTGGTGATGGAACTGCATTACGAGGCCTGGTGTGCGGCCTCACCAGTAACCACCGCCGGGAATGCCCTCCCTTACCAGAGAAGAATTGGCCACCCTGGTGCAGTATCTGGCCACTACCTCCCACATGCCTACGTCAAATAACTCCCAGCCCTCAGTCCCCAGCAGCTGACTGACCACGGCGGCAGTCAGATGTGCAACACAGCAGTGGGTGCTAAGAATCTCTGCATCCGGACAGGCCGCCATTGAAACCTGAACTTGGCAACGTTCAACGCTAAAACCTTATCTAGTGAGGGAAGTCTGTTTACGTTATGTGCTCATATTCAAGTAATCATGAATAGCCAATTCACCCCATCAGCCCTTTTGTTCACTTAAAGGGGTCCCACAACACTTTTGGGACAGCCTTATCGAAAAACCGAAACGTGTTTAGCAATGATTACCGAGACGAATGCAACAAGAATGATGAAAATTTGAGCACGGAAAGTGAAGTTATGAGTCCTAAAAGTTCAAAACTCGAGCAGACGACGAGAAACGATTTTTTTCACATTTCACTCGCCTGCCGACGTCGAAGACCGGTGCACGGAAAGTGAAGTTATAGTCTTAAACGTTCAAAACTCGAGCAGACGACGAGAAACGTTCTCTTTCACATTTCACTTGCCTGCTGACGTCGAAGACCGCTTCTAACGACAGCGCATATATAAAGACATTCAGGAAACGTCACCTCAAGGTGGCTTTCACACAACACCTCGCTACTGCTCTTTTTGACGACGTCATTAGCATGGTTACTACGAACCACGTGAGTCGGGTAGTAGACACTCCCACAGTCACACCGTAAGATACGTTTTGGGCGGGGGTCACTTCTCGGCTAGCATGCAAGCGTTCGACAGTAATGCCGGCACGCACCGCCTGTTGCATTTTTGGCTAGCTAAAAACGCAGTACGCGCTTCCACTTTTACTTGCCGGCGTACCATAGGCTGGTTTGCAGGCTAAGTGTTGTGTTCGTTGTTCTGAAACTTCATCGTTTTGAAACAGGAATGATTTCTTTCTGCGAAAGTATAAAAACGCTTTTGCTATTTTTAGCATTCAGTCGTATGGCCTAATTACTTCAGTCGTATGGCCTAGTTCAGTCGTATGGCCTAGTTACGTTACTTCTAGCGTCAAGCCAATCACAATCGAACGGTGTTTGTTGTCGCATGACACGACAGCACTTCCCATAACACAAATAGCCTATGTGTGTCACCGTAGTCTGAAATCGAGGTAGTTTGTCCCGTGAATTAAAATAATAACAGCGTCAATTTCGTCATTGCCATGTGTGCAACGATATAGGCGCATTCCACAGCACCAGCAGAACCCATAAAAAACGCGTGCTCAAATAGTGTCGCAGGGCCCCTTTGAAAAATGCAGTAGAACACTCAAAACAACTTCAGTTGGTTTGCACTGAGGAAACTTTAGCTGTGGAAGACGACGAAATTAGACCACCTGGGGCTTTTTTGAACTGACACTCCACAGAACATCAGCATCTAGCACTTCACCTCCGTCAAAATACCATCGCTATGGCCAGGATCCTTCCTACCTATGGCATTTATGTTGGCAGTGAAGTGTTGTAACCATAAAGCCACCGTGGCCCCTGAAACAACTTTTACAGGAAATAAAGATGTCCACCGGAGTGAAAGGAGTTTAGAGTCATGTACTACGCATTGTTTGAATATTTAGTTGAAGGGACACGCATTCGGACACGTCTATGCATTGTCAATATTGTCGCCCGTTACAATACCGATTGTTGGCCTAGTTGGTACTTGCTTAATGACATGCTTTGGCCACAAACAAAACACACAAAATAAAGGAACACTCAATGGCAAGCCTAAGTTGATTGATTTGTGGGGTTTAACGTCCCAAAACCACCATATGATTATGAGAGACGCCGTAGTGGAGGGCTCCAGAAATTTCGACCACCTGGGGTTCTTTAACGTGCACCCAAATCTGAGCACACGGGCCTACAACATTTCCGCCTCCATCGGAAATGCAGCCGCCGCAGCCGGGAATCAACCCGCGACCTGCGGGTCAGCAGCCGAGTACCTTAGCCACTAGACCACCGCAGCGGGGCATGACAAGCCTAAGTGGCACTTCCAACTCGTGCATGAATTAAATTCAATGAAAGATGGCGCGGTGCATTTGTCCACGCATTGTAGAGCCT